TAATGATTAATCACTCTCCCGACCTGGTCGTAAACCAGACCACAACTGGGGGCTAATAGCTGCAGTCAAGTGGCGCTGTTTCGCCATTAAACCCGCGACTCCACTTCCACTCCACTTCAAAGTCGGACATTAAACTTGGGCCGTGCAAAAGATGGGAATTCGTCTGGGCAGGCGAAGAAAGAGATACTATATCTGCGGGTATATGCATTGCCATTTCCAGACCCGAATGCCTCGGATGCCGCACAATGAATAACTATGAATAATTCGCCCCAACATGCAACCGCACCCGAGTTGCGTGAGCAGAGACCCACCGAGATATGGCGAAGACAATGCCTGCTATATTTTTGAGATAAATATTTCGAATAGCAGCTGGAAGACAGCGAACTGCCAGCGATCACCATCACCAGAGGTATCTTACGCACAATGCTGAGATACAGTTTTGGTGTGGCTTTATTTGATGCGTAGATTATGATCGAGTGCCTCCATATTTGGACGCTAAATATTTCCTTATGTTTTTCTTTAGGAAGCTTCTCGAGTGACCATATCCCTGTGCTACTCTCAATCAACAAAACCAAATAACTTGCTTTAAAAACTACAAAAAAATTAGCCCAATAATAATAAAGTGAATAAAGAGTTGGCTTTTAGTGTCGCTCGGGAATTGCAAAACTGTCCCCGCCAGTGGACTCCTATTTCTAGCCTTTTTGGCGGCAGCGAAAAGTGAAATTTTATATAATGGCCCACACATAACAGAGTCATTATGACAGTTGGCCTGGCCAAAGCAAATGAAATCTATTAGCCATTAAAGCGGAGCCTCTATCTTGGCCAGCAGCTGGCAAATGGCTGGCAAACAAGTTAATTTAATTTCCAGGCATAAAACAAATTACGTATGAAAAGTCGCCGTTATCGCTGCATTTATCATGGATGGTACGACGGTATGTATCTCGATCTCCGTCTCCACCTCAAACTCCACACCGTATCTATCCAGTTGAGGCCTCTTAGTGCCAACGGACTTTAGCTTGATTGAAAACAATTTCGATTCAATTACATCTATGGCAGTCGGAGCGACAGAGCAGAGACATGATGTAGGTCTATGGGATTGCCATTTGCGGCTAATCGCCGGAGATCAACTTTGCCATTTAGAGTTCGTTTTGGGCCTTGCCAATTGGCGAAGACCAGGTACGAGTCGGCCTAGAGCCTAATGTATTAATTTGCTGAGCTATTCTCAAGGGTGTCGTCGTCGTCGTCGTCTTTGGGGCGGGTTGAACGGCATTCCAGGAGGTATTTGATCCGAGATCAGAGTCGACCTCAATCCCCAGCCCCCATTTGAATCCTCATCAAGCTGAATTCTTCTTCTCGGTGGAAAACCCATTTCGGACAGATCATAAAACCCAAGAAGATGGAATGGACATGGAAATGGGAAAGTTGTTGCCTCGCTTTGAGCCGACACCTTGCCAAATTGTTTCTACGTTACACAAGCTGAGGAATGGGAAATACACCTGATTTGTGTGTTTGCAGAGACACACCACAATAAGCTGGGATCGGATGTGGGCTTTGCTGCCACCTTTGCGACGATGATGCCAGAGATTAAGTCACCGCTGACAGGCAAAAGTTCTCATGGCAGTTCCATTTCTTTAGCCCATTTGAATTTGCATTTGTCCATGGCGAATTTTACCCACACTCGAAACACGAAACACGAAACTCACTCGCAGATAAAACTATTAGGAGAATTTAGCAACCGACAAAGCCGGAGAGAAATGTGGCCACTTTTCAGCTGTCAGAGATCGAGATCTCTCCGAGCGAGATTTCCCAAGGCTGTCAGCTCCCTTGAGCTATCGCCCATTCCCGGCTTTTGTCATCTTTTTGATTGTCGTCGACGGACGACTGTCAAGCTTGACGGCGTTGCGCTTGACTCCAAATTAAAATGGTTGTTGTATCTTTTTTTTTTTTTGGAAGAGCTTTTCCAACGCTCATTATAGTTTTCACTGGGATTTGTTTTCAACAACAGATTGCAGGGCACCTGCCCGCCCGAGGTTATATATCAGCAGGCCCCAGCTGTCAAATAATATAATTAGGGTTTGTCTCGCTGAAACTATATCGCAGCGGGGCGTGGGGCACAAGAGTTTTCGGTGCTTAAAGTCTCTGGAGCTTGCCTTTTGACACAGTTGCGTTTTGGAGCTGCTGCCAGAGACAGAGAAATGTTTATAATTTGTGAGTCGAATCGGTGGCAGGTAATTGATGCCGAAAGTGGCTCGGCCTCAAAAGCGGGGGCCAGTGTCACCGTTGGCCTGTCGCCGACAATGGCTGAACTGCTAAAGATCATGTCAAGTTAACCGCGTGGAAAACTGGAAGAATGGGTAATGCGATCATCTCGGGATTGTGCAAGTTCAGCCAGGGCCTGAGCATCCACAGAGAAGACTTACCCCTCGTACTTAAAGATAACGTCATATCTCTGGTAATGCGATCCTGTCCTGCTCTCGCCTAGAACATTCCGTCGTCACACACTGTTGACTCCACCGAATAGGAAAGCCAACTGCTTTGAGACTTTGATTTCGGCCATTTTCCTCGAGAGTCTCGAGGAACTCGTGCGAGCTGATAAAATTGAAAAGCTGATAGAGGTAAACCCCCTCGACTATCGACTTGTAGAACTTGGGGCATCAGTTCCGATAGGCCAAGTGGCAAATCGTCTGAAGATATGTCGGCTTGAGAGGGCACCATTGATAATTTAATTACGAGCCTTAATCTTAATGAAAATCACATGAATTGCGGAATTTTCAGGTTATTTAAAAGCTTATTTCCAGTTTTGTTTTTGAGTGTTTTTTTGAGAACTCCTTTGTAATTTCCTTTTTAAGGCAATAATTTCTTTTAAAATATTCTCTATTAATGTAATTTGTGTCTTAAAAGCTTTTTAGAATACTTTTTTGCTAGCTAAGGTTTTATCTATAGCTTCTATATATACGAAAAATCTAGTTACAGAACTATAAATACCGTTTTTCATAAGAAAATATATTTTTTAAGAATTCATTTGACTTGGAACTTTGTTCATCTAAGATTCCACATTTTCTTTACCATCTAAACTTCCTCTTTCGCACTTCCTTGAAAGTAGTTATTAAATTCTCAGTATTTTTTCCTAACTTTATTCACCAGTAACCTGTTTCCCAGGCACCCTTCTCCCTGTTCCTTTCTTCCATCTGTCAGCTGCTACTCCTCAGACTCAGACCAATTAGATGGGCCACAAACCGAGTGTAAAGCCCATTGCGGTAAGTCGGCTCCCGAGTGGAATTGTTATCTGTGGACCATCATAACTTAACGCTCGACTGACTTCCCCGACGTCAGCAATTGTCTTAGCCTGACCCACGCAATGTCGCTCCAGAGGGCGCCGAACCTCTCAACCTTAGGGCAATTACTTATGCACTTCCATTTCCAGTCGACTTTCCGACTTGTGCTAATGTGCTCAGATTATAGGAAACACTCCGGCTGGGGGCACTAGTGGCAACAGCTCTCCGATCTACGATCCGCGAGCCCCATCTCCATCTTCATCTCCACCTCCGTCCCCAGGAATGGTATAATTTTCCGGTCTTTGATTTCCTGCTTTGTTTTAGCCTGTTCCTCAGACGAGGGTCTTTGTCTATGCGTTTCCACTTCCTTTGGACGGGCTGTGGGTTCCCGTTCCCGTTCTGAGACTCTGAGTCGGTGCCCAGTTTACCTTCGTTTATCACCAGCTACTCTTAGAACAAGAGAGCCGGACGACTACTTGTATAATTTATTGCCCACTGCGTTGGCCACATTAAGAATTCATTGACCGGTCCCAGTCAAAGTCATCGGCCTGTGGCCACCATTCTAGAAGGGAAGCTGTTCCCAGCTGTTTCCACTCTTTCTCTTTGGTTTTCTCCCATTTAGAAAGTGTGTGAGAAAGGTAATAATTGAAGAACCATACAGGCCAATGAAAATGATCAGAAGTGTAGACTTTGAAAGAGGAAAAATTGATTACATATCGTTGAGAATGATCAAGTATTCCCAAATTAACAATAAAATATGATAAAGAAGTATATTCCCAAACAAAACATTCAAAATTTAGTTTAAGGTGAAGTTTATTAAGCGAGCTTAGAAGCAGCTGTCGATGGACGGGAGCCATCCGCTGCAGTAGTGCCAGGTAGACCAGGCGGACCATCCCTGCTGGCTGAGCACCTTCTGGGCACAACGCACGGAGTGGGTGATGTCGTCGGTCAACAGGGCATTGCAGCTCAGGCCACACTCGTTGTAGGAGAAGCGTCCAGAGGGGGGAGAGCACCAGTAGTAGTCGTTGATCTGGAAGATGCCGTAGTCGTTCGAGCCGTTGTAGTTGGTGGGTCCAACCACGTGGGTGCGGTAGGAGCTCTCGTGCTCAGCAATGCAAGTCCAGCGAGCCAGCTGGTCACGAGGAACGCCCAGGTTGGACATCTCGCGGGCCAGGGAGCAGCGGTCCATGGTACGACCGAAAGCAGGGGCGGCCAAAGCCAAAGCAACCAAAACGATGAAGGCCTTCATGTCGATATTTTTCAGAAAACTGATTTCGAATCCGCCAAGGGTGGCGCTTTTATAGGGCCAAATGTCTGTCTTATCTAAGATAACTCACTCAAGATAGTCCTTCCTCGGGCTATCTTTAAATGAATATCTCTCTTGAAAAAATCCCCCAAAACCTTTTGATTAACGAATTATATTTATTCCTGCGTGTGCTGCTAGAAATATCTTATCAATATCTTTTAGTGTTTGCCAATATATGGGATGATCGAGAAGGTGGCCTTTTCTTCATCAATCAATCATACGGTTCCTATCAGGTGACGCCGGGGTAATGAAAAAAGCGGACTTGTGGTCTGTAGATACATTATATTATTACTTGTGGGTAATTGCCATCGTCATTAAGCTTAGGTGTAAACAAGACTGGCAATAGGCGCAATCAGCGTACGTATGTCAGATAATTCCTTTATCAGCCAAGGGTTCTGTTATAAAAGCACAGTCCTTCCTGCCTCCGACATCAGTTTTTGAAAAGCATTAACATGAAGGCCTTCATCGTTTTGGTTGCCCTGGCTCTGGCCGCCCCCGCTTTCGGTCGCACCATGGACCGCTGCTCCCTGGCCCGCGAGATGTCCAACCTGGGCGTTCCTCGTGACCAGCTGGCTCGCTGGACTTGCATTGCTGAGCACGAGAGCTCCTACCGCACCCACGTGGTTGGACCCACCAACTACAACGGCTCGAACGACTACGGCATCTTCCAGATCAACGACTACTACTGGTGCGCTCCTCCCTCTGGACGCTTCTCCTACAACGAGTGTGGCCTGAGCTGCAATGCTCTGTTGACCGACGACATCACCAACTCCGTGCGTTGCGCCCAGAAGGTGCTCAGCCAGCAGGGATGGTCCGCCTGGTCCACCTGGCACTACTGCAGCGGATGGCTCCCGTCCATCGACAGCTGCTTCTAAGCTGGAGGAGTATTTGATTTGAAATAAAGACGCTTTGAGAAAGAATTGCTTTGTTGATTTCTGGGCTGCCACTTTCTCTCCGATCCGCAATTGCCACCTCGGGCAGTGAGATTGCAATCGAGGGATAATCGCGATTCGTGGCCACAAAGCGTAATTCGAGGACGCCCGGGGCTCTTAGTCATTTCTATAATCGATATGGCATTATTGTTTTCTTAAGTTTGACAGTTGTGTCTCTGATTATTCCAGGCGGAAGTTGGCCTAAGCTTGCATGTTTCGCTCGGAGCCTTTGTAAATTTAAATATAAAAACATTGTCAAGCTCTGCGCCGAGAAGAGCCCGTCACACAGGTTTGGGACTCTGCCAAAGACAAGTCCAAGCTCAATGGAATTATAATGAATATGCCCAGGCGGGGTTATTATCTGACTTTGACCCGCTGACAAACGTAGCTTCGAGTTTACTTTCTATTGGAAAAGAGTGGCGAATAGCAGCCTTACTAATTTGTTAGTCAGTCGCGATGTGTATCTTTGTTTGTTTTAACAATGATTATTTTTTGCGCATATTTTTAAGGCTCTTTGTTTTAACAATGTTTCTTCTTTTAACCGATACTTAAAGCTCTTTTGGTGGACCCACACTATTATGTTTATTAGCGAATTCATATAAAATTCTTTTGGCAAAATTAGAAAGTGATCAAGTCAGGCGAACCTCAGACAGATTCATCAACCGTAAATCTCATAAAAGTTTACTAATATTTAGGTTTAAAAGGAGAAACTACACAGAGAAATTTTGCAGGAAATTCCTTTTCGAAATAGGGCAGGTATAAAAAAATGTCACTAAGACAATCTATCCTAAAAAGTTTAAAGCTCCTTTATGTATTAAAATAGTCAACAAGATGTAGCTTTACGTATTTTATTTATTTTTTTTCGGGGTCAAAATCAGTTTAGAAGCAGCTGTCGATGGACGGCAACCATCCGCTGCAGTAGTGCCAGGTGGACCAGGCGGACCATCCCTGCTGGCTGAGCACCTTCTGGGCGCAACGCACGGAGTTGGTGATGTCGTCGGTCAACAGAGCATTGCAGCTCAGGCCACACTCGTTGTAGGAGAAGCGTCCAGAGGGAGGAGCGCACCAGTAGTAGTCGTTGATCTGGAAGATGCCGTAGTCGTTCGAGCCGTTGTAGTTGGTGGGTCCAACCACGTGGGTGCGGTAGGAGCTCTCGTGCTCAGCAATGCAAGTCCAGCGAGCCAGCTGGTCACGAGGAACGCCCAGGTTGGACATCTCGCGGGCCAGGGAGCAGCGGTCCATGGTACGACCGAAAGCAGGGGCGGCCAAAGCCAAAGCAACCAAAACGATGAAGGCCTTCATGTTGATTCTTTTACTTTAGTAAACTGATGATGAGGTCCTCGCCTGGCGCGCTTTTATACTCCCCGTGAAGTGCCTTATCAGGAGGTGAAGAGGAGCACTCGAGGGGCGATAAGGTGATAAGCATATTGAACTGTCAATGGCACTACAACTGCGATGAAAATTTGGTGATAGGACCCCAAAGGGTTCTGAATGGCCACAAAGTAGATTGATCAGTTGGCCTCTTATCGGCCGAGTTTGTTTACAAACTCCAATGACGTCGGCCATATTTAATCTTAACTGATTGTAATTGCCTCAAATGGAGATGGAGAACCGTTCAAATGGGGAAGAACAGCTACGGCGGCTTCTTGTCTTATCTTCTGCGAGTCTTGGCCATTATCCTAACAGTTCTGTGCCCAAAGTTTGGCTGACAATTAGGGACGACACGAATGGAAATGAGGTTTAATTGGCCTGGGCCGATTGTAGGCTCCTCGGCGAGCTCATGCATATGCAATGGGGTCTGGCCGACAGACAGCAGAAAATTCTTCTTGATCAGAACTGTTAGCTGACACAGATCGGGAAAGAAAAGCCATTAGCATCTTCGATAAATCAGCAAAAAGTAAAAGTGATAAGCATTCTTCTTTGACAATAGAACCGACAACTCATCGAAGCCAAGCGAGGCTCCACTCATCCACAAATTAGCATTCATTTATGAATTCATCTATAATTCATGGGACTCTAAGGGGGTCACGCTTGAATGCCCGAGGCTGGAGCCTAACTGGAGAGCTCTCTGGCCACAGCTGGATGTGAAGACAGCTCTGGCTGACAGCTCGTTCTCCCATCCAGCATCATCTCTCGAATGCCTCCACAGTAGCCTTTTGTCATTTGTCTTTGCTTTTAGCCACACGCGAAAGGTTAACAACTTTCTTGGCATCGCAGAAATCTCGGAATCTCCGAATGCCTCAGCTCTCAGCTGCCTCCGCAGGCAACTGGCGCTCGGTTTGGGCCCACTTGTAACCCCAGGAGTACCGCTAGCGGAGTGCCCCTCCCCGCAGCTGCGAATGGGGTTAATGTAACAGCCCGCACTGACTGTGGCTCCGTAGTTTGCATACTTGCGGTTGGGTCGTCGATCGTTAGTCTTTGTCGAGTCTGAGTTGGAGTTGAAGTTAAAGTTGGAGTCGTTGCCTGGGTCCAAGTCCAACCAGCTCGGGAAAGCAGCGTGTGCAGCGCACCTATTGATGATGCGTGGTAGCCTTGGGTCTCTGACAAGTCAGTGGTTTTACGAGCGAACGCACGCCCGTTACAAGAGTTGGCCAAGCCTCCGATTGGAGTTCTTTACCAAATCACAGCTCACTTAAGTGCACTAAAGTAGAGCTCGTGTAGCCCGTACCTTCTGCCCACTAAACACTCGTAATTGCCCAGTCAAGACGCAGCGGAGATGCTAACAAGGTTAATGGCTTGAAGAAACAAATGCTCAGCTTTAAAAATTAATCTTACTTGCTCTAAAAAGCCAGAAAAACAGAAGAGATGAAGCTGAGACCTACTTGGCCCACTCTGTGTTACCTCAAAGGACCGGCTTTTGGCCACTTTGCTGGAAGTGTCTGATAAAGGCTGCGGCCTGATTAAATTTTGTTTAGCCATATTGAATAAGTGCCTCTTTGAGGTCTCGTGTGCACTTTCGATATGGAAATTTGAAAGTGTACATAGATCACTTGAGATAGGGAGGGCGCTATTCCCCTATAAAAGCCAAACCCTTCAGGCCTTCAACATCAGTTTTTAAAAATTGTCAACATGAAGGCCTTCATCGTTCTGGTTGCCCTGGCTCTGGCCGCTCCTGCTCTTGGTCGCACCATGGACCGTTGCTCCCTGGCCCGCGAGATGTCCAACCTGGGCGTTCCTCGTGACCAGCTGGCCCGCTGGACCTGCATTGCTGAGCACGAGAGCTCCTACCGCACCCACGTGGTTGGACCCACCAACTACAACGGCTCGAACGACTACGGCATCTTCCAGATCAACGACTACTACTGGTGCGCTCCCCCCTCTGGCCGCTTCTCCTACAACGAGTGTGGCCTGAGCTGCAATGCCCTGTTGACCGACGACATCACCAACTCCGTGCGTTGCGCCCAGAAGGTGCTCAGCCAGCAGGGATGGTCTGCCTGGTCCACCTGGAAATACTGCAGTGGCTCCCTGCCCTCCATCGACAGCTGCTTCTAAGCTGATCTTGACCGCGAATAAAAAATGATTGCATAAACAGACATTCAGAGTAGAATTCTGTGTGGGATTTATTTCTTTCTACTTTGGGTAATGAGTCATTGTTTGATTTTTAACTCCAGTAATGTGAAGTCATTTGAATCCATTTATTTTACCCTTATGCTGGGTATTATTATTTCAGTAAGAAGCTTGCAAAGCATGGGAGAAGTCATTTAATTTAATGCTTTTTTGGCTTACTAATTCAAAAATGTTTCTCTAATATTTCCACTTAAGATTTAAATTTCGAAACAAGCTGTTCTAATTAGTTTTCACTTTTATGGTAATTTATTGATTTATTTCCCAAATACTTTCTAATCTGATGAATAGAATATGCACACCTAATTTGCATTTGCTTATCGCAGTGATAAAGCCATAAATAGATGTGCGAGGTTAGAAATTTTTGCGGGAGAAACATAAAATATATTCGATCAGTTTCGGCCAGTTTTCCCCCAATAGAAAGTAAACTTAATGCTTCGCCTGACTGACAGCTAAAAAATGACAGCGGGTCAAAGCCAAATAATATGCAAACGCAGACAAATTCATTATAATTCCAATCGGCTTCGACATGAGGTTCGAACCAGTCGGACTGGTAGCTCTTGAGCGCAGAACCCGTCAATGACTCTAAATTTAACTTGGTAATAATGCGAACTTCCGTCTCTTTGCCAAGAGAGAACCGAAGACAATAATGTCATATCGATTATACGCATTTTTGCCACCGAGCTGATTGCTCTGAGCCTAGGGCCCCTCGGAATTGAGCTCACGATAGCAGACTATTAATTGAGACGAAAAGTAGTTGCCTTGGGGCATCAAAAGTTGGAGAAAGCTGGCCAAAACAAAAGGATTTAAACTTATAAATTGTTTCAGAGAATTAAATGTAATTGTAGGAATAACCAGGCATTTATAAGATTTTATGAAATAATTTTATTCGGGGTCGAAATCAGATTAAAAGCAGCTGTCGATGGAGGGCAGAGAGCCGCTGCAGTAGTGCCAGGTGGACCAGGCAGACCATCCCTGCTGGCTGAGCACCTTCTGGGCGCAACGCACGGAGTTGGTGATGTCGTCGGTCAACAGAGCATTGCAGCTGAGACCACACTCGTTGTAGGAGAAGCGTCCAGAGGGAGGAGCGCACCAGTAGTAGTCATTGATCTGGAAGATGCCGTAGTCGTTGGAGCCATTGTAGTTGGTGGGACCAACAACTCCGGTGCGGTAGGAGCTCTCGTGCTCAGCAATGCAGGTCCAGCGGGCCAGCTGGTCACGAGGAACGCCCAGGTTGGACATCTCCCTAGCCAGGGAACAGCGGTCCATGGTGCGACCGAAAGCAGGGGCGGCCAGAGCCAGGGCAACCAGAACGATGAAGGCCTTCATTGTGACGAAAACTGATGTCGAGACCCGCAAGGAGGGGAGCTTTTATAGCCGGAAAATTATCTAGCTAGGGAGGGCGGTTATCTCGAGTACTATTATTTTGATTTGATGGGCCCGCTAATCTGGACGTGTCGCAAAAAAAAGATTCGCCGGGAAATCGGACCATATTGATAGGGCCATTGATAATTCGATTGGCGGAGCATTCCGATAATTATGTGAATGAAGTATGTATATTGCGGAAACTCTCTGGTGAATCCCCTCGCAGCTGGCCGGTCCCAAGTCCACCTGCCCTGAATTGATGCAGAGCAGCCCTTGTGTGCCGGGTGACTGTTTGTCTGGCCAATTGGCCTCTGATCTCTATTGTGGCCTGCCTGCCAGCCTGTCTCTCGCCTTGGTGGCGGCCCATTGGCTCCAATTAGTCTGGGTTCCGATCGAACAAAGCCCGCGGCTCATGGCCCACTCCATTCGAATCCAGTGCACAAAGCCCGCTTGCTCTTTGTTGCCCAAGTGCGGTTACCCAATCTCTACCAATTGCTTCATTTGTCAGGGCCTGTCAAGGTGTCCAACATCTGCTGATGGCCGGGCTAATGTGGTTCATTTAATGCAGTTTCCCAAAGGGAAGCCTAGTCCCCTACTTTAAGGTTCAGAAGAAGAATAAAAGCCTAAGCTGAGACCACAAAGTGGCAAATTTTGGTGAAGAAGAAAGAAATTTCTATTTCAGGTAGTGCCGAAAGTTAGCTGGGCCACCTCCTCCTCCACCTCCTACTCCTCATCATAAGCTGTTTAACTATTGTTAAATCAGACCGGAACAGATTTTTCTGTAGTTTGGCCGGCATACACTCGCTTTTTACTCGGAATGTGTGGTTTCTGTCTGCCTCTGCGAGTGTTATTTATTTATTTACAATCTCCTCTTCGTTTTTCCCCCTCCACTATTTCCCTGCCTTCCTTTGTTGGGCTTTCCTCTTTGTGTTTGGCTTTCTGGACAAAGTGGCATTGTTGGTGCGGATTGGGGCTTCGCCGAAGACGCCAAAGTCTCGTGCCGCTGCCAATTCAATTTTCACTTCAATCTCCCCATGAGTACAGTTAAATGTAATTTGTTTTCATACTTTTATAACGCACACGCAGTAGTCTTAACGACTTTTTATGGCTCTTTTTTGTGTGCTGGGTTCTGCTTCTCGGAACTGCCGAGAGTTTCTTTTTCTGATCTGCGTGGGCGTCACAGTTCAATGTCAGAGCTGCCCACACGGCCCAGCGAGCCAGCGAGCGAGATTTACATATCTAGATTCCAAAAGAAAGTCGGTGCCCATTAGCATATGGCCTGAACCCGGGCACGCATCGGATACGATCTTGACCAAGTCGTTTGGAAGACTGACCCTCTGACTTAGTTGGGACTTGACTGAACTAGTTCATCTCCTCCACTTGCGCTTACCTAGGCCTCCTCTCCTCTCCTGGTTGCTGGTCGTCGTCCGAAATCCAATTTGGGATCAGGTTCGGCGGGCGCTGTGCTCTGGGAGTATATTGACACGATTCCGAATTGGGCCACAGAACGTTCTCAAATTCCCGACTCCGATACACACAACACACACACCACTGCTCCTCCTACTTGGAGCTGACTTTCATGCTGCACTTTGCGTCGTCATCGGACAAGGGGCACAAATTGAGAAGATTAGCAAGAAGCCAGAACCGCTGTGCCTCTGCCTCTGCCTCGGTCTCGGTCTGTGTTATTTTTATTGCGGATGGATGGATGCTCGGTCGGTCCGTGGATGCTGCAATAGGCCAGTTGGGGCCAGTTCTAGCCGGGTCCAGTCCCCGAGTTGTACTCGTTTTACCGTTACCAGCAGAATGCAATCTGCGCGCGCACTCCACTCGCGATGCTGTTAGCCGGAGAGCGAGAATCGAGACTGGAGACTCGAGAACCGAAAGCCGAGAATCGAGTAGTCGCACTTTTCTATCCAATCAAACTCGTTTCACCCGAGAATACACAATAGGATAATGCATATCGCGTAATCGCCAGTGACACGTAACAGTCCAGGGGAAGAGAGACCGAGGGAGTAGTTTTCGGGTTCACAGGACTTGGCTTTGCACTTAAGGCCTGGCTGTCGATCATCGATTGAACTTGGCTAGACCTCGAGCCTATCTAGCTGAGCCATCGACTTAGACTTAATTGGTAACCTAAACAGTGCTTCGTCTCCGCTTCCAACACAATCTCGACACGTCCGCCTCGAAGAAAAGTCACGCACCGACTGATCCAAGCCACCAACTTGGCCTGAACCCAAGCCGAGCTTCAAGCCCGAAGACTAGCTACCAGCCCGAAGACGAGCCGAAGAGTCGCTCTCCCGCTCTAGTATAAGACCAGTCCCCCTGCTTTCGTATAAGACCCCGCTTCCAAGCATTAGAGCAGCCACTGCTTGCCTCTAACTTGACGATGAAGACTGTCAAGCGCTGGAGGGCAACTCCAAATCCCTGAGCTGTGATTAGATAGAGGAATGAGAAATCGGAGCCCATCCCCACCAGAAATAAGCCAACTATATAGGAAATCAAAGCGTTTTTACTGGCAAATCAAAACTACGGCTTAGAAGCAGCTGTCGATGGAGGGCAGGGAGCCGCTGCAGTAGTGCCAGGTGGACCAGGCAGACCATCCCTGCTGGCTGAGCACCTTCTGGGCGCAACGGACGGAGTGGGTGATGTCGTCGGTCAACAGAGCATTGCAGCTCAGGCCACACTCGTTGTAGGAGAAGCGTCCAGAGGGAGGAGCACACCAGTAGTAGTCGTTGATCTGGAAGATGCCGTAGTCGTTGGAGCCATTGTAGTTCTCAGGACCCACAACTCCGGTGCGGTAGGAGCTCTCGTGCTCAGCAATGCAAGTCCAGCGGGCCAGCTGATCACGAGGAACGCCCAGATCAGACATCTCGCGAGCCAAGGAGCAACGGTCCATGGTGCGACCAAGAGCAGGAGCGGCAAGAGCCAGAGCAACCAGAACGATGAAAGCCTTCATGATTTCAAGTGATTGAAACTAATGTAGAACACACAAAAAATTCTTCCTTTTATAGGAGATTTCAGACATCGAATCTCACAGATAACCCTTGGGAATTATCCATAAAAAAGTCCCCGAATTAAATTTCCGTGTCATTCGATGGAAAAATTCGATTCAAATTGATGGATCGCTGACACTTTGTTATTTAATTGGACTTTATCAATGTTTGGCCATTCTTGTAGTATTCTCATTGATATATTCAGCCATTTTTTTTTCGTTCAGTCTTTTAATCTCTTGTATTTGGCAGTTTACTGATAAGGCAATGTTTACTACAAAGTGCAGGAAAAATTTCCTTTCGTGGTCTATCAGGTTAATGAAAAGATGGCGATCTCTGCGCTGCAAATGCGCAGGAATGGAGTTCGTATCAGTACGCGTGCGAACGATAACTCCTTTATCAGCGGAACATTTTATATAAAACCCGGAGACATTTACTGTTTGGGCATTAGTTTCAATCACTTGAAATCATGAAGGCTTTCATCGTTCTGGTTGCTCTGGCTCTGGCCGCCCCCGCTTTCGGTCGCACCATGGACCGTTGCTCCCTGGCCCGCGAGATGTCCAACTTGGGCGTTCCCCGTGACCAGCTGGCTCGCTGGACTTGCATTGCTGAGCACGAGAGCTCCTACCGCACCCACGTGGTTGGACCCACCAACTACAACGGCTCGAACGACTACGGCATCTTCCAGATCAACGACTACTACTGGTGTGCTCCTCCCTCTGGACGCTTCTCCTACAACGAGTGTGGTCTCAGCTGCAATGCTCTGTTGACCGACGACATCACCAACTCCGTCCGTTGTGCCCAGAAGGTGCTCAGCCAGCAGGGATGGTCTGCCTGGTCCACCTGGCATTACTGCAGCGGCTCCCTGCCCTCCATCGACAGCTGCTTCTAAGCAGTTGCCTACCCTGACTCGTTCTAAAAATAAAATATCAGCATAAAATGAAGCAACGCTTTTCATAGCTTACTGTTTGTTATCTTAAGAAAGCCAGAAAGTAGGCTTTAATTTCTTGGCCAAGCATAAGCTGACAAGAGCTGGCATCTATATCCCCCTTACCTTATTATAAAATCAACTTGCTTGGCTTACCTGTCTGCCACCGATTTGCCCACTTCATACATGGAGTCCAGGGAATAATCGTCGCCAATGGAGCTGTATACATTTGTCTGTGTGCCCACTGTCTCGACGTCGCAGTAACTGCAGCTGCAGCAGGAATACTGGGAGCAAATAGAGGAGGCATCCAGATCGGTGATGCCAATAGAGCACTCTTCATCCGGTGGCCGCTCTTGCAGCTCAATGTCCGCGGTCTCCTCCTTCTGCGGGGAAGCTCCGCGTGGAGAACGACTAGAAGATAATTAGTAGCGTCGATTACAATGTAAAATATGTATTTATTTCTCATTATGATAATTTAAGAATGTGTTGCGGCCTGAGAATGGATTCTTACCTCTTGGTGCGTGTGTCCATCGTGTCCATGACGACGTTCCAAGTGCGATTGATCAAGTAGAGCAGAAACAGCACCCTCGAGGTCTCCCCGTTGTGTGGAGGCGTGCCATTAGGTCCGGCCCCTAGGCAGCTGCTGGAGCCAAGCCGCTCCTTGCCCTGGTCGTGGTTATGGCTCTGGCTCTGGTCGTGATGCGGATGGCGGGCAGGGAGCGTCTTGGAGCGATACTCGCTCTGCAGGCAATACTCCCGCTTGTGCTGCTGGTAGCGGCGGCGCGTGTTGAACCTGGAGGTGCCCTCACCGGCGGCTCCCTCCTCCACTCCGCCGCAGATGTCGCCTCGGGTGGATGCGATGCGGTTGCCCATTACGACGACGTCGCGGATCGGCGCCTGTCAGTCATTGCCTAATGTGACATGGACAATACGACAACAAGAAGAACACAACATATGTTAGTCGGATGTCTGCAGTTTGGATGCAAGTATTAGCTCTGACACAATTCTCCTAACCAGTTTCAGGCCGAGCTGCGAAAAAAGTGAAGTGGCGGCCTGCGGAATTGGGTCAGCAACGAGTTCTGCAGGCCGCTAAGGAGGTCGGTCGGCCAGAACCAATGCCTGTAGATGGCCAGAACAGAACAGAACAGAACAGAGCGAGCTCCTCACTCGGTTCACTTAGTAATTATGATAAACTATCCATGCATTGGCAAAATGATGGATTGCTCGGACCAGTTTGGACATGATAGCAGTCTTTTCCTTCGATCCTGGACAGAATGATTGCATGACTCTTTCGCCGAGGCGTGGAGGCTGTCATTGCATGTCTCCCAATACCATCCCCGATAGCGGGCATCTATTAAATGGATCCAGGCCAGCTCGGCAGCTCATTAGCGCGGCAATACATCAAATTAGCGCCCTAGCTACCCAACACTTGCGGCTTGACCCGCGACACACCCAAGCTGAACTATCTATATAGCGAAACCGCACAGTTTCTTATCAGCCACCGACCACTGACGTAGCAAACGTGACCGCTAAATGACAATACACGAACGCAGAGCCACTATCAGTGGCCTGGGCTTATCTCCCCAAAAAGGGGTACAGTGAAAGGTGCCCCCACAGAGACTTTACTACCTGAGTTTACCATAACCATTCTTCTCTATCCCGACATCAATTAGTTTAGGAAATCCATTTGATTAGGCATAAATTATAGAGCAACTCGGCAGAACAACTTTCTTGCTGACAAAGAATATGGAAATGTGAGCCGTAAACCGGAGCAGCCAGTTTTGGGGTTCCTTAGCCTAAGCCCTAAAGACCTTCGAGACAGAGAACCTTGTTTTTCACTGACCAGTGAAAGTGACAACAGTGAAGTGGAAAGTTTTTGGGTAACACCTTTTGGTAGGGTAGGTTTAGTACGGTTGTTAAACGGAGTAGCTACTGTACTGGATTAACCGCATCATAAATATGACAGACATGCGCACTAGGCGTGCGAGGGAAGACTCTACCCAGATAGATACCTCACTCTAATTAAACTAAATACACTGCAAGAGTTTATCTAATCTACATCAAGGCAAGGCACGACCAGGCACCCTGTATGGCAAGCAATGTTAACTATAGGGCAAATTATAAACCGGGAGCCGAGCGAGCACTCAACTTTAAAATGCGAGACCCCAGCTGGTTGGCGTCGACAGTCGCGTTTGCAACGATCTAGCGAGCGGTAGCCTCCAGCGGAGATTCGTTGGGAGAGAAAGGAACCTGATTTGGAGTAGAAGGAGCTGAAACTAGGACACAAGCCCACCACCAGCACAACATGAGCCAGAAGCAGCTAGACACCGAGCAACTGCTCTACGAGGAGAAGCCCCTGCATGTGCCCTCATTGCCGGAGCTGCAGAACGGTGAGCAGCGTTAAGCCGATTTCCCAGATCCGCCAGATAACAATACGTGCTGTATTGAGAGCTCTGTGCTGTGTGCTCTGTTCCGTGTTCTGTGTTCTGGGAGCCGAATGACCTTCAGAACTGTGCCATAGCCAAACTTTCCATAGCCGGTTTTCGCTCAGTTCTGTTGATTTGTGTTTTCTGATTTCTGTTTTCATTGCGCGAACTAAACACAAACATATGATTTTGGCCGAGAGCTTTTGGGGCAGCTTTTGGCACTCGGACGCCTATATGTTTTACTGTCCAGATGGAGGTCGAGATAAAGCTCCACTAACAGTTTGCTCTCCTCTCCCGCAGTGATACAGGGTGCCCTGAATGGCAACTTCGCCCAGGTGGAAGTCAGCGTGGGTCCTTGTCCGGATCTGAAGGCTGCCCGCTTTGGTCTCGTGGAGAGCGGATTGGGCGGCAAACCCACTCTGCTGGAAGCTGGCGGACCACCCTTCCTGCTGCCCCTCGTCCAGCGCGACAAGCTGTACAACATCAAGGAGATCACGCGCAAGATCCAGGGTCCCGGCAAGATCTTTGCCGTGGGTGCCGGAGCCGGTCCCTGGCCCATTCGCCGCTCCAACTGCGAGGGCATCTTCAATCTGTCGGTAAGCGAGAAGGATGAGCTGAACAACGGCAGCTACACGGCCACCGTTCGCGGAGCCCACGAGGAGTGCGTGCTGGAGAAGATTCCCCACACCGAGCCTCGCTGCGCCCTGCTGCTGAACCTCTTCCTCAGCCAGGGCAAGCCCGGAGATGTGCTCAAGATCAGTGCCAAGCAGCGCACCGGCGAGCAGAACTTCATCGAGTGCATCCGCAAGGGGCTGGAGGAGCACTACGGCGACAAGGTGGTGGGTCTGGGCGGTATCTTTGTGATCAAGAAGGGCGCTGCCCACCAGCACGTGATGCGGGACTTTAGCAAGACGCCAATCAACACGGATGAGGAGGTGAACGAGTGGCTCAAGTTCTACGAGATGCCCGCCCAGCTGAATGCCGTGGGCACTCTGGTGACCAAGGAGCACGACCTGGACCTCCGCCTGCAGCACTTCCACTCCTTCTCCTTCAGCAACTGGGGTGGCCACTACCACTACGACACCACGCCGGAGATCGTCGAGTACGAGGCGTACCTGAATGTGGCCGAGCGGGTGGTGCGTGTGGACAAGCCCGTGGCCACGCACAAGGTGGGCCGTGACTAGATCTTATCTCCGCATCCCCATTCGTATCTAGTTTTCCATTGTCTTAACCCCCCGTAAATAATAGTGAATAATAATAAAAATAAAAACTAAAAATAATCCAAAAACCTCAAAATTCTATATCAGTTGGGGAGGACGCCCTGTATATGACCGCAGCCCTATCACCCGTCACCCGGAATGACGGCCACTCAAATTGTTCAAATTCTGGCCAGGCGATGGTCTGCTGGTCAGTCGCAACTGTGCCTCCAGCTAGGCAAGTCCCTGAGTCCATATCGTGGCATTTGCAGAGATAACATGAGTCGGAGTCACCTTCAAACGGAGGGCCTGCTCTTCGAGGAGAAGCCACTTCATGTGCCGCCGCTCTCTGAGCTGCAAAAAGGTGAGTGGAATGCCCCCGAAATTTTTGATAATTTAATGCTTCCTCTGATTGTGACAGATAAAGCTTTTCTCTTGATTTTCCAGTCATACAGGGGGGCTCTTTGTGCCAACTTTGCCACCGCCGAGGTGAGTGTCGGTTCCTGTCCAGACCTCAAGGCAGGCCAGTTTGGTCTTGTGGAGAGTGGACTGGGCGGGAAACCCACTCTCCTAGAGGCAGGCGGACCGCCCTACTTGCGACCCCTTGTCCAGCGCGACAAGCTCTACAACCTGAAGGAGATCACCCGGAGAAGCCAAGGTCCTGGCAAGATATTTGCCGTGGGACCTGGGGCAGGACCCTGGCCAATTCGTAACTCCAACTGCGAGGGCATCTTCAACTTTGTGGTGAGCGAGAAGGATGAACTGACCAATGGCAGCTACACGGCCACTGTGAGGGGAGAGCAGGAGGAGTGTGTCCTGGAAAGGATACCCGACACAGAGCCACGATGCGCCCTCATCCTGAATCTCTTCCTGAGCGAAGGTAAGCCAGGAGAGGTTTTAAAAATCCGCGCCAAGCAGCGCACAGGTCAAGAGAACTTTGTCGAGTACATTCGTAAGGCCTTGGAGCAGCACTACGGCGACCAGGTGGTGGGTCTGGGCGGCATCTTTTTGGTCAAAAAGGGATGTGTCCACCAGCATGTGATGCGGGACTTCAGCACGACACCGATCCACACCCACGAGCAGATCCAGCAGTGGCTCAAGTTCTACGAGATGCCCGCCCAGCTGAATGCCGTGGGCACCCTGGTGACCAAGGACATGGGCCTCGATCTACGCCTGCAGCACTTTCACTCCTTCTCCGCCAGCAACTGGGGTGGCCATTACCACTACGACACAACGCCGGAGACCGTGGAGTACGAGGCATACCTAAATCTGGCGGAACGTGTGGTCCGCGTGGACAGGCCCGTGGTAACGGATCAGTTGGGAAGAGACTAATGGCCCGAGACAAAAATAAATGCCTTCTAAGAAAATGGTTTCGGTTTCTTCTGTCTGAGACGATTAACTGGGGGGCTCATTAAAATGGCATCACATCATTTGGGCTTTACGTAATTGCCAAAAATTGGAGCCGCCGCTTTCTTCGCGATGCAAATCGATGGCCAAATGATCTGATTACCAGACCTGGTGGCCAGTTGGAGTATTATTCTAGCTGCGGTGGCTCCATGCGCGGCCTAATGAGAGACACGATACGGAGGCCTAGCTAAGCAGGCCGTAAATAATGTCCGAACATGCAGCAATCCAGCTTTTCACTTCTTTGCTTCTTATTTTTTTTGCCTCGCTGGCCATTAATTATTTAATAACTTTGATTCATGCAGAGCATCGCTGCGAGTGCAGTGGCGAATTCGGGTCCACGGGAGCTCAGCTCCATCATTAAAGCAATCCATCGACTTTATGAAGATTTTTTCCAAATAGCAACAAAGTCTGGATGAGGAATTCCCCCCGCCTATTTGTTGTGACAGTTACAAATCGCAGTGGATACAGCCGCATCGATCATGCTGGCAGAGAAGAATAAGTCTTACTTACCCACTCGGGGCCTAGAGACTGGAGAGACTCTCCCAAGATGCGGCTTCTGCTATTGTTCTACGGCGTCTGCGGCACCTCTTAACGGGTTCCCAATATTTGCATTTAGATTTGAATTTATTATTCGGCCGGGTTCTGGCAACCTTTTTATGAAAGTGGCACTGGCAGCAACCGAGACTCGAGACCCGAACTCGCGCACAAACATCGATTGATCCAATTTAATCTTCGAGCCCAGCTCAGCGGTGAAATGCAAATGCGATTTCTTCGTCCCACGAAAAAGAAAATCTCTTTTTTGTTATTGTTACCGTTGTGGTTTCAGCCTTGGTTGTTGTAACAGCTTTTTATAATTTTTTTGTTGTGGCTCAGCACCGTCGGTTTATTCATATTTTAAACACACCATTAGCACTTTTTATTAGCTGCCTCTCGGTTTGATTGACTCCACTTCCACCCGAGCTCCACTTGCTCTAACTGCGACTACGACTGCGACTACGACTTTGGCTTCTTCGTGGACTTGGTCTTGCACTTGACTGGAACTGAGGACTGAGACCTGGTTTCGAGCGCGTCTGCTCGGCTGAAACGCGAGTTGCAGACTGAATGAAGTCGGCGATGAGATGGCTCGGCTGCCGTCTATGGCTTGGAGTAGCTTTTCACATGGGCTACCAGGCGCGTAGCCAAGCAACTTGTTTCGGGGGGAACACTCTTGGGCTTAAGTTTATTGATAAACACACACTCTAAACATAAATATTCTTGAGAGTTATGAAAAGAAATTGTTTGCTTAATTTGAAGATGCCTGACTTCACTTTTTTCTAAAAGAGTAAATTGGTATTTAATAGTAAATGGATTTTAATATATTTTCTAGTAAAATTGAACTCGAATTTATATTTATGCCAAGCTTTTTTTTAAAATGAGCGAACTCCAATGTATCTCTTAAAAAAAGAAAATCTTTTGCAGAAAAAAGAACACATCTTTCTTAGGATACTGGTTCCCTCTTAATTATTTTTAAATTCTAAAAACTTAAAGACTTGTCATTCTATTCTCCCAGTGTAAGTTCTAACCATTCATAGGTAGAAGTATGCTTATCGCCCCTGCTCAGACTCCTCCTTGAGTCTGAAATTGTTTGACGAGTCTATTGCCCCCACCTTGCTGCACCTCTGGTGTGGCGAATCAAGTTGGCTTTTCGGCTGCTCTGCTTTACAAGCGTTTTTTAAATTGAAATTGTCGTTTAATCTCTAATTGATAGCGTAAAGAGGCCGGGCCGGCTGACAAGTGCATAAGGCGAATGCCGTGCCGATTTTCCCAACCTCCGAAACCAGTTCCCACACTCTCAGCCGGCCGCAAAGTCGCTGCCAAGGCTGATGTTAGTAGCTGGTATTAGTAGCTGGCATCTGGTCTCTATTTCCATTGCCAGCGACACGAATTTAGTTAGTGCTCCTGTAAGAGTACACTGCCCAAAGGCAGCTCGGACCTGCTCCTGGACCTGGACCCGGCCCACCCGATCAATGAACCGCCTCCAAAGAAAGTCGGCTTCGTATAAATTGCATAATAATTTTTGGCCCAAGGCTAGTTGATGTATCGCCTTTGTAATGGCTCGGCAGTATTTGAATCTTAAAGCCTTGGGCGTTACTATTAATGTGTGATTGTTATAGATCGATCGGCAAATATATGTGGCAAATGTACGAAATTCCCTGGGTGAAATGGCGACATTAAACATGGAAGCTTGGAGTTATAATTTCACTGCAATGCCCACAAAGGAAACTCGGAAGAGTAACAGGAAAGGCTGCACTGAAAATAAAGTTGATTAACTTAAATTAAGGTTAAAATACTTTAAAATGTATACTTATGTTTTATATATAAATTATTGATATTTAATTTATAATGTATAAACAAAATCATTACACACTTTAATATCAGAAAAGTCATAGAGTTGAAGCTTCGTCATAGTCAGGATTATCTCACCCCGTTTGATTAAATATAAATGATCATTTAATTGCTGTTAAGATATAGATCTGATTGATTAATTACCTTTTAATGCAAAAAGTAAGCTTTATTGCCTACTTTCTGGCAGATTTCATTTAACTCTGTTCAGTAAAGCAACATTTTGGGAGGCCTTTATACCCAAAGAACTCTTCATAGCTAAAAATATTGCTGTATACTTTTGAGCCATATATGTATTTAGAAAATTACAACAATAAATACTTGTAAAAATAAATAAATATAACAAATATAAAATAAAACCACCTGCATTCCTTTTTGTTTTGCATGAATTGCATTATATATTTCTTTGTATACATATACAGTATATATATTCGTCTTTTTGTATACAACTTTATAGGTTTACACATCTTAGAACTGGGCTTTTATTGAGAATACTTGAAAATGTAGCAGCTGGTGTTCGATATTGTTGAGTCTCGTAACTGAAAGATAGACGAAACTAAGACTAAACTCCGGATATACATCTGTAGAGCTCTAAATTACTTTGGCCTCACTGTATTTGTGCTGTGCCATGGATCGAGAGGGTTTCGAATTACTTTAAATAAATCCAACAGATTTCTCTGCCTTTTACAAAAGACCCAACTGAGCCATTATCTTTCGATACAAAATTCTGGGCCATCAACAGGAGTTCAACTTATCATCGTGTGGTTTCTTGGTTGTGCATTTACCTAGGCTAGGTGTGTGTGTTTAAGGTGTGTTCCTATAAAGGGCAACTATTGCTATTGCTGATTGCTTGAAGCGAGTGTCAAGTGGGGAGTTTGGAACCAAAAGGTAACTATTTACATGTCTAAGATCTTGCACAATTCGTAGGAACGGAAAAATTAGAATAATCTAAAAGTAGTGTTTGGTTTTTTTATCGCTAGGGTTTCTATTGCGAGCTTATTGAATTTGTTGTAAGAATCTCTTTGAAGAAGAGCAAATATTTCTTGAGATTTTAGTTTTTATTCGTAATAACCGCACAAAAAATATATCATATTGGTTAATGAAGCACAAACCACCCTGCCTGCCATTACTTTACTCAATGTAGATGTCCTCGATGGGATAGGCGGTCTCAATGAATTTCTGATAGAATCGCTGAAAAGCACGGCTGCCGGAGAGGAAGGGGTTTATTAGATTCGTATCTTAGGTTACCCTTTGCAAGACTTACCCCACTGCCTCGGCCACGGGCCTGGTGGACTCCGATCCCTTGAAGACGTGACACGCAAACCGCTGAACCGTCGGGTGCTTGGTGATGAAGCCAATGAAGCGGTGATCGCGAGGGTGAAAGGCGCAGAAGGAGACATTCTTCAGCGAGTAGAAGTAGTCGATGCAAGGCTTCTTATCCTTTTTGTTTTGCTGTTGAAAGGGGAGGGAAAGAGTAGTTCCGGTCAGGGGTTGTTTATAAATTAAGTACAATTAGTTTAGCCTGGATTGTTATCTATCTCAGAAAATATTTTCCTGATATCAGGTCCTACTCACATTCGGTCCCGATCGATCCACCATTCGCAGTCCCTGGTCGGACACCTCCAAAATGCAGGTCTGTCCGGTGGGGGAGCTTCCGTATTCGCCGACGATCTTGCGCACCGCCTGGCAAACCACGCCCGTGCCCTTGTGCGCCAGCGTCTCCACGGAACCGAGGTAGCCCAACAGGTAGCGCTCCTTCTTCACTAGCTGCACCGTCGGATCGAACTCGTTGTAGTCCAGGTCGACGGCATAGGCCGAGGGGAAGATGCCCTGGCGTCCGGTGCGCAGATTGACGCCCTCGCACCACAGGTCCTCGGCCTCCTTTTGCACATAGATGGCATCGCCGATCTCCAGCTCGATCTCGTCATGGTGCCGTGGCACAAACTTGTGCAAGCCGCGATGGGTGGCCTCCAGCATCTCCAGCTGGCCGAAGGGAACACCCCCAAAAGGCGGCGGAAAGGGAGATTGGGACACGGGCGATGTGATCTGTGGCGACATGCTCTTAAAGTCATTCGGCGAATGTGCTGTGCTGTGACCGCTGTCCACATCGCCCAGGCTCTGCAGCCGCTCCGAGTCCGGGCTAGAGTCCTCGTCCATCAAGTAACCGCACTTCAGAGACAGAAATGAGCGCTGCTGACCATTGCCGCCACGAGCTGCCAGCGGAGGAGGTCCTCCATTGTGGCGGAACTCATCCGCAAGAGAGCCAAAGTTGGAGCCACCTAGAAGATGCAGAATGGAAGCTGCAACGAGGCCATGAGTGGGTTAGCCCGTAACTACGAAGGGATATCAAGTGGGGAGTAACCGGTTTTCATAGATTAAATAAAACTTAATGAAAAACCATTATGTTGAAGTGAAAACCAGTTAGGACCCTTAGAACTACTTGCATGCAGGACACTCTAATAGGAAACTACACACTCTCATCTATCGAACTTACATTTCTTGTTCTTGGGAATTTCAGGGAGCTTGCGCCGTCGACGTGTGGCTGCTGAATTCGGGGCCAGCAGATCTGTGCTAGCTCCAATTGTCACCGGAGCACTGTTGCCACCCAATCCACTATTGTCCATGCCCAGGAAACCACCAATTGCATCCTGATGATTCAACGGGTGATGACAATGTGAGTTGAAGGAGTCGTTGGTGTCCAGGGATCCATCCGAAGACAGAGTGACCTTCAGGCCATCGCCCAGCTCGTCGTCCTCCACTTGACGCATCTTGGGCTCACGGTCCACCTGCCCGATGCCATCCTCCTGATCGGAGCCATCGCCTTCGCTCTTCGAGGAGTGCGAGTCCTCCAGGTCATCGTTGGGAATTAGACTGTGGAAATTGTGTTATGAGTGCATATGGATGAGTCAGTCAGTCAGGAGGAAAATGGCATTCAAAAAGTTTCAAAAGAACAGCAAATGCATTCCCATTCCCCTCAAGGATACCGACTAATTTCAAAGGGGGTGCTCCTGGGGACACGTGCAGCTTCTTAGCTCCGCATCACTTCACTTTGGTACTTTTGGAATTATAATGTAACCTTTAACCTTTTCTTTACTTACGAGTAAAATGCATGGGGATTATTCTTCTTGTTGCCAGCTGCAGCTCCAAATGTGGGAATCGTGTGGGGCTCAAATATGGGCCTGTGGAACTCCTCGAACTCGCTGTCCGCCATGTCGTCTTGGGACCTGGCTTCGACCAGCTGCCACGCCCACAACTACGGGCTAGCTGGGAGCTTCTACGGAGTTCGATTCGATGGGGTTTTATATGTTGGAAGACCTTCAAGCCAGGCTGGTTAACTTTTGCGATTTCGGCCACTGTCGAGAGTCGAGTCAAATTTTTCACTTCACATGCGAAAATCGATAATTTCCTTGACGTCGCTAGCTGGCGCACTTGAGCCCCCGTTCGACGTCCAGTTGTGAGTGGTGGGCTCCGTGCTCCGTGCTCCCGAGCCAGGGAAATTTTGGGACTTTCAGCTGTCAGCCGTAAGCTCTCTCTCTCTCTCTCTCTGGCTCTCCAACTTGTTTTTGTTTACTGCTGGCAGGACACAGGGTGAGGAGCAGCGGCATTTAAGAATTTTAAGTTCAAATCGTTCTCTGGGGGGTTGACATGTAGCGCGCCGACGCAGTGCGTCACATCCGCTCTGCGTGTCCAATATTTGGGGGTGAGTTTTGCGAATTGCAATGCTGTTGCGCTTGGGTCACGAGCTGCCAGGAGCGGTTGAGGCTTCCAAAGGGTTTTAGAGTAAGAAACAATCAGGGATGGATATGGGTTTTGCTTAGCCGTTTCTTAATTGGGTTTTATACTTATAACATAAATTATGTGTTTCAAATTACTATATTACTTACAAAGAGAAAGGAAAAAATTCGAATGATTCTATAAAATATGTTTTACGCAAGGTATTTACTTAAAGTACTACATAGTATGGCTCATCCGAATGGGCCAACAAATGCATTCACCTTCTTATAGATACCAGAGATCATAGACCGATAGGTAATTTCCCAGAAAGGTTAATCAAATATCTGAGAAATACGCAAGGTTTTGTTTGTACAAGATAAGTTGTCCAGCTTTTAAAAGAAAATATATTATATATCTCTTACCGCATGAATATTTCTTAATTACTCAATGAAATATGTCTTATCACTGGTAAAGCCCATTACTAATAATTCCCTTTGTTTGTGATCTACAAGGGGTATAAATACCCCGAGACAGACCGTTCTACATCATTAGTGTCTTCTGTCACCCATCAATATGAGAACTCTCTTGGTTGTCTGCGTCCTGGCCTTCGCCACGTCCTCGGTGCTGGCCCGCACCATGGACCGTTGCTCCCTGGCTCGGGAGATGTCCAATCTGGGCGTTCCTCGTGATCAGCTCAACAAGTGGACCTGCATTGCCCAGCACGAAAGCTCCTTCCGCACTGAAGTGGTGGGTCCCCCTAACACTGATGGCTCCAATGATTATGGAATCTTCCAAATCAACGATCGCTATTGGTGCCAGCCCTCCAATGGACACTTTTCGCACAACGGCTGCAATGTGAACTGCAACGATCTGCTCTCGGATGACATCACCAGGTCGGTGCAATGCGCCCAGAAGGTGCAGGGAGAGCAGGGCTGGACGGCCTGGTCCGTGTGGCACTTCTGCAGCGGAAACCTTCCGCCAATCGATGATTGCTTCAGATAAATTCTTTTTACTTGAACAGTATCTTACTCTGCAAAAATATTAATAAGTAATTACTGTGTGTTTATTGCCTTGTTAAAGTGTAAATTAAATTTTGAAAATGTATACTTTACTTTACTATCTATACCCTGGCAGGGTATTCGAATTTTATGTGAAGGAGTCATTTCCGACCCTATAAATCATATATATTCTTGATCAGCATCAATAGCCGAGTCAATCTAGCAAGGTCCGCAAGAAAAAAATTTTTTTTAATTTTTTCTCAAAATTTCAAAATATGATAAGGGGTTACATCATTATTTTTTTCAAAATTTGTCAAAAATTTTTATTTTTAATTTAGTATGCAGACTTGTAAGCCTAGTAAAAAGTAACACAGAACAGCTTTCCGAATTGAAATTAATGATTTTTTGACCAAGTTATGAGAGATTTTTCATTGGATCTTTCATCCAAAAACCAACTGCAAAGGTACTAGGGCTTCCGGAAATTTGTTACAATAACTAATTTAAAAAAATATATTAAATTGCCGTTTATATATATTAATTGCAAGTATTTATTTAATTATTTCTTTAGCAGAAAATTATTATAATAATAAAATAATAATATAAGTGCTTGCTCTTTAAAAATGCTCTGACATAAAATGTTATTTCCCATTAGAAACAATCATTAATCGAGGGTAGATTTCCGCTGCAACGATTCCAGACTGCCCAGGCTGAAAATCCCTGCTTTGCCTTAATCTTCTGGGCGCACCGCACAGATTTGGTGATGTCGTCCGAAAGCAAATCATTACAATTCACGCCACATCCGTTCGCCGAGTTCCCGTTGGCCGGCTTGCACCAATACGAGTCATTAATTTGAAAGATTCCATAGTCCTTCCCGGTCGGATCCTTCACATCGGTGCGGTAGGAGCTCACAATCTCGGCAATGCAGGTCCACTTGTTGAGCTGATCACGAGGAACGCCTAGCTTAGACATCTCCCGGGCCAGGGAGCAACGGTCCATGGTGCGGGCCAGCACCGAGGAGGTAAAAGCCAGGACGCAGATCACCAAAAGAGCTCTCATATTGATGGGTGTCAGAATACAATAGTTGTCCAGAACCTGCCGCCTCGAAGTATTTATACCCGTTGAGAGAAAGAGATTGCTGGCTCTAACTAAACAATTAGTAAAGCTCTAGATATTAGTAATGGGTCATATTTACTTGGATGATGTATGAAGAAGTATGTTTGCGCACAGGTCTAACGGAGTTTTCCTAGAACTATGGCACCTTTCTCAGATTACCTTATTGATATAATCTGATTGATAATAAAGTTATGTATATTTAAATATTTATTTCCTAGTAACTTATCTAGTAATAAAGTAGAAACCATTTCCCAGAAGCTAGTCTTATCTTGGTTGCTTAAACTCTAATCAACTTTAACTAATTAGTGTTTTCGTTATCATTTATTTTTATTTTTTCATAAGTTGTACTAATATGTTGCAATTTATATTTAAACAAATTTTGAGCAACTGAAAACCTTTAATATTTGTTAAAACCTATTTTCCTTAAATGTTCATACGATTATCCCTGCTGACGAATCATGGCAAATGCTGAAATTTAATCCTAGTCACACTTCATCCCTTCCAAACCCCCTCCCGTGCAAATTAGTGGGTCTAACTTAATTATTCCGAAATCAAGGGAATCAACAACTGCCATTCATCGTGACCTCGACTCCAGTCCGGATTCCGTCTCCGTCTGGGAGATTTCTCTCGCGAGAAAAGGGCGAAATCCTCGTATCCTCTCAGGCACTCGCTGCTACCATAAATCCATCAAACGGCTGGCGGCTCTTGGGCAAATAGAAAGTGGAAAGTGCCTCGCTCTGGGACTCGTTTGCCGGTCAATCAGTTAGCCAGCACCATTAAGTTTATCGCTTTGGCTGATGAGCCGAGAGGAGGCTTGGACTGGACGGGACGGGACGGGATGGGTTGGTCCTCCCTGCCCACGCATGTGTTTAGTGGCTGTCGGCACCCCTCTGACGTGGTTTTCGCATATTTTAATAGTCAAGTAGCCCTGACTCTGGTTTTCTGCTCACGGTTTCCGCTTTCCCCTCCGAGCTCTATTTGCCTTTCTTGAAGCGCAAACAATGGGCCCAGAGAAGCGGGCGAAAAGAAATTGCTATTTATCTTCTATTGACTCTGTCGCTGGGAAGCATCAAGTGGTTGCTGGTTGTGGAAAGAGTTTTCTTTTATGGTTTGACTATTCCCGTTTATTTGGCCACTCTCAATGTCGCCGAGTCAGGCAGTTTCCCTTGACCAACTTCCCATTGATTTTATCTAACAGGAGTTCTTCCCTTGTTTTTTCCGCAGGAGTTCCAAAGGGGTTCACTAGGTTTTTCCTTACGGTACACTAGTTACTGCGATACCAGCATAAATTAAACGCTTGAATTTGAAAGTCAAGCACAGAAAGGTCTGTCTGTCTGTCCTTTCACTGAACCCAGGCCCCAGTCTCATGACTTTTTCCCCATTCAAGCCATTGAAAGTTGTTGCTGCTGATTAGAAAGTGAAATGTTTGGGATAAAGGGGAAGTTTTAAGTACTCTAAGATGAATAATAAATTGTAAACGAAGCTTGATACAAAATATTGTAATGAACTAAAACTTTTAAAATATGGAAAATAAATATCAATATTAAGAAAACTGTTATTTTGTAAGCTTTTTTATGATTTATTGCTGGGTAAATACATTTTAAATATGTATAAAAATTCCATTCCATTTAATTTTAAATGCTTTAAACATTTTTTTCCTATTGATATAATCTAAAATCGTATAATAATGACACATAATTTTACATTTATAATTTTTATTAATTAAAATTAAACTCCACTTTAAATAGAAAACCCACATACCCTTTCCTCATAAAGTACCATGACGTCATGCGTTAGCGTTTTGGCCTGACTCCAGCATGATTTGGCCAATCAGAGCGAGAGCACATCCCCCAAAAGGAGGTGGGGCCTCTGAATGGAATGGAAAGACTCACTTGTAGCTTTTATATCCTTGAACGAATTTATCTCGCCACGCACACTTAATAAATACAATTGAATATGTATCTCTCTGGTGGGTGCGTGTGTGCGTTCGGGAGTCCTGCAGGCTGCCTATAAAAGGACCGCCGCATCGGCAGGATCTTGCAGTTGCGCTGAGTTGCGCATACGACGCGTGTGCCCGCGGTGAAAGTAATTCCGGCTTCCCAGTGTTCCAGTTCCGAAGTGCAGTGCAGTGCAGTGATGAGTGCCTCCGGGAAGAGTCTTCTGGGCCTGTGGCTCTACAGGAGCGGCGAGAGCGAGTGGGCCGTCAAGCAGGGCAGTCCGCTGCACCAGCTCAAAAAGGATACAGCATCGACGGCCTCCGGCTCTTCGGGCTCAGCTCCGCCACACTTGACTCTGTCGCGTCACTCCTCAGCACCGCCAGAGCCACCCCGGCTGGCCATCGGTGGCGTTGGACAGGATCCTCCACGGCAGCACTCGCCTGGTGAACGCATCTCCATCATCTTTACCCTGCGCAACCAGGTGGGTAACTTGGCCAGGGCTCTGCAGGTCTTCCAAGAGCTGGGCATTAATGTCTTGCACCTGGAGTTGTCGCCGCTGGAGATGACCACCAACCAGGCGGATGTTCTAGTGGATGTGGAGTGCGATCCCCGAAGGCTTGACCAGGTGGTGAAGATGCTGAACAGGGAGGTGGCCTGCGTGAACTATACGTCCGTGAATACGCAGGGATTGGCCAGGGCTCCGTCACTCTCAGCTTGCTCCAGTTTCGGTGAGTTTTTTTTTTAAGAAAATGTATAATCTTTAAGGATATTTTGGGTTATCTCCGAATTTTTTAAGAGATCTGTATTTTCCTAATTTCAAACCAAGTTACCATATTTAGGACAACTTAAATTAAATTCCTACTTCCCCCTTTCAAACTTTAACTTTTAAACCATCAGATTTCGGTGACATGGTGTGGTTCCCACGAAAGATTTCCGACCTGGACAAGGCCCAAAATGTCCTGATGTATGGCTCGGAACTGGATGCCGACCATCCGGGATTCAAGGACCCGGTTTACCGCAAGCGCCGTGAACAGTTCTCGTCTATAGCTAACAACTTCAAACAGTAAGTGTCGGGATAATAGAAAATCTCAGCCCACCTGTAACCCACTCCTAAAATCCTTTCCTCACCTTTAGTGGCAATCCCATTCCCCGAGTGCAGTACACACCGGAGGAGGTGAAGACTTGGTAAGTTTTTGATTGCATTTGGCATTGATTGCACTGCAGCATCGATTGATGTGGGCGACTTTGAAACTTTCTGTGTGAAGGGGCACCGTTTTCTTGGAGCTGCACCGCCTCTACGTGTTGCATGCAGTTCCAGAGTATATGGAAAATTGGCCCGAGTTGGAAAAGTACTGCGGCTACCGTGAGGATAACGTACCCCAACTGCAGGATGTGAGTGTGTATCTCAAGCGCAAGACGGGATTTCAGCTAAGACCTGTGGCAGGATATCTGTCGCCCAGGGACTTCCTTTCGGGACTCGCATTTCGCGTTTTTCACTGCACTCAGTATATACGGCACTCTTCGGATCCCTTCTACACTCCCGAACCGTAAGTTTATTCAAGTTTTTTATACAAAATAAAGTCTTAGACTTATACTCAATATAAACTGGTAAAAGAATCACTATTTATAATTGCTAATCTTATATATAGCAAACATAACACAGATACTTGGCCTACTTTTAGGACAAGAGTAAGAAATGATCACACGACATAAAAAAAGTGTAATTCATAAAAACACAACATAAATATTAAATATTTTAAAGGGAAAGATATTTTTAAATATAATACTTCTCTGAATAATTTGCTTTCATTGGAAAATCCCATTGCTTTCAAAAAAAAAAATATTAGTATTACGGAATTTCCGCTGACTTATATGATTCATAATTTTTCTAATTTCCCCAGCGATTGTTGCCATGAACTTCTGGGCCACATGCCTTTGCTGGCCAACTCGAGCTTTGCCCAATTTTCCCAAGAGATTGGGTTGGCCTCCTTGGGAGCCAGTGATGCGGATATTGAAAAACTGGCCACTGTGGGTATTCCCTCTTTAATCCTTAATAATTTATCTTTTTAAAGTGACACCCTTTCATTCCCAGCTCTACTTTTTCACCGTGGAATTTGGTTTGTGCAAGCAGGCGGACAGCTCTTTCAAGGTTTATGGAGCCGGACTTTTGAGTTCCGTGGCCGAATTGCAGCATGCGATTACAACAGAGGCGAAAATCAAGAAGTTTGATCCGGAGGTGACTTGCCAAGAGGAGTGCATCATCACATCCTACCAGAATGCATACTACTACACGGACTCATTTGAAGAGGCCAAGGAGCAGATGAGGTAAGCTGATAATCCTTGATTTATTCTGGATAAATGTATAATTTATTAGTCGTATTTTCTGTAAATATTTATAGAGCCTTTGCCGACAGCATTCAGAGACCGTTTGGTGTGCGGTACAATCCCTACACCATGAGTGTCGAGGTCTTGTCCAATGCCCAGAAAATCACGGCAGTGGTCAGCGAGTTGAGGGGTGATCTCAGCATTGTTTGCTCTGCTCTGCGTAAGATCTCCGCCACGGATGAGAACCTGGATGTGGACAGTATTGCCAACATGTTGCACAATAGCCTAAATGTGCGAGGTGGAGCTTCAGGGGGAGGCGGAAGTCCCTGCAGTCCGGATAACTCTGATAACTCCACGGCAGAGGGGGACTAGGCCCGGAAAGGAACGTATAACGAAAGGCTTAAATCTGGAAGAGACTCTTGGGACCACAGAACAGTATAATTCGTTTGGCATTTTAAGAAAAAACATATTTAAATTAAATACATTTTCTTATAGAGAAATAAACTTGATTAAAATGTTAGAAGTTAAATATTTGGATTCAGAAATAGATCAGCAAAGGTTCAAACATTATTTCAACACACTTATAAATTATCTTCCGTTTTCTAATCATTTCTATAAATTTCTAAACCCTCCATCCTCCTGCCAAGCGAATTATACTGTCACCTTTTTGAATATACACGTATCCATGTCTATGTCTAGCAGTTGTTTATTCAAATCTTAACGCTATGTTAAAACTAAAAAATTAGAACTAAACAATAAATTCGCAACCTCTCGGTGTAGCTGCCTAGTCTACTTGTAGATCATATCACAGTCGCTGTTGAGAAGCAGCTTCTTGCTCATGTAGCTGGTCAAGCACTGCACAATGAAGTTGGGAATGGTCCAGAGATTGAAGCTGAGGGCCAAAACCCGCCACTGCTGCAGGATCAGCCGGATGTCCGATAGCCAGTTGAAGCGATGGCCCACCCGCTTGGATACCTGGCTGGTGACGCCTCTGACCACGCCACCAGCTATGCCGGAAACGCTAACCCGCCGGCGCTTGGTGGGAGCACCGTCCTCGGAACCCGAACCACAACCGGAACTGGAACGGGAATGGGTGCGGGAGCGAGAGCCGGGACTATTACCTCCCGAGGTCAGGGCTCTCTGATCAAAGTCGGGCTTCAGGTCGACGCGTGGCGCTATCTGGATGCGATCCACTGTGTCGCAGATCTCCGCATTGCTGATGAGGATGCCCGCCACAATGTACATCATCTTGAAAACTCTGTTGGGGGAAATATTTCAGAATTAATAGGGTTTTTTCCAGGGAAAAACTAAGCAAAACGCACCTCACTGTATGTGACATCATCTTGACAGAACGTAGATGTCGCTATACGTATTCCCAAGTATATTTTTGTGTGTATTTTGGGTATTTTATTTTTTGCTTCTTGCCTGCACCAAGGTGTCTTATCAGCCGCCGCTGCTGCTGTGTTTTATTTAATTCCAATTCGACGCTGGCCGATCTGCTGATGTATTTATTCGCTAGTTTCTATGCTCGGCACGTGGGTCAATCTATTGCCACTGATTCCACGGACTGATCGCTTTCCGACTGCTCTGCTCTGACGCTGGAAACCGACTGAAGGCGAGCTGGCGGCGACCCGAACAAACGGAGCTGATAAGCCGGGAACCAAAAATATAATAATGGATAAGGCGGCTGCATGTCCGATGCTAATGCTCGCCCGAGATATGATCCGGCCGAGTCCATTACGATCGTTCCTTTTTAATGTGTCTGCATTCAGGTTCTCTCAGTCATTCTCCTATAGAAAACTTGGGGTGATAAGGCCTCTGACTTTCGGCTTATCGATCAATTTTATGGATCGCTCTGCGGCGGCGTCAAAATAACTCTGAATCGCTTGGAAACTACGTAATAATTGCTACTCGGCGTGCACCTTGGACTCTGTATTGGATGAGTAGGCGGCAGCTAGCGCGATGTGATTACCCATAAATGCCGGGGTCTGGTCTGGGTTCCATCGCATGAACCGGGTCCGTGTCCCTCGAATCGATCCGATAGTGAGGCCTTATCGGGGGAATGCATCTAGTTCACCTTTTGTCTAAGGTAAACAATTGGTGTTTCGGCTCAGGTGGTTTTTCGAGAGTTTGAAGATTTGTTTTACTTGTCAGCCTTCGGTTTTTATGATCGGAGAATCTTTTCAAGAACCCTTCCGGGGTATTATAATTTCCAAAAATTCATCATATAAATAAATAAAATCATAATAATAAAAATCATAAATATCTATTTATTTATCCTCCTAAAGGGAATTATGATTTTAAACGTTGTTTTATGCTCAGTTCCTTAGAGTAGATTTAGCTACAAGTTCAAACAACAAGTTCAAAATCACGAAAGATTCAGAAGATGATGAAATCATGAATTATACTTTACTGGAAATGTTCCAAATATTTGTTGTTATTGTTATCGTTGTAAAAAAGTAGCATTTAATATGACTTGCCTTTAGCTTCTTTCGTTACTATTTTAAAATACTGTTATACCAAAGTCCCAGCCTTCGTGTTTGCCAAGATTTCCACCCTTTATATAAAGCTATCATGGTTTTAGCAAAGGCTATAGTACAGTACGTGTGGAAAGCTTTTGTTGAATTACTTTCCTCTTTTTCCCTGTCTTTTTTCTGATAAGATTAAGTCAAGATAAGAGCTTGAAGATACTTTTGGGTTCTTAAATGTTATTTTTCTCGAAAAAGAAAATGTCAAAATTTTTAAAAAATAATTTTTTGAAAGTTTTCCTTTTATTATAATCCTTATCAAATTATAAGAATTTTATTTTATTAATAAGGAAAGTCTCTTGTTTTCTAATGTAAATCTTGAACACTAAATGCATAACTTACCTCATGTATCTATCCTAACAGCCTTTGCTTTGGTTTCTATTAATTCTATATTTCCATATTTATATCTCCTCTTATTTAATTTTTAAATATATAAATATTACTGCAATAAGAATCTTTAGTAAACTCTTAAAATACCTTTTTTTCTGTCTTTCACTCAGCTCTATTTAAACACTGTGACTTTCACCCTAACTAAGTTTGCCAATAATGAAATCAAAAGTGGTCTTTCAAAAATGGTTTAGATTTCAACAGCTGTGGTTTCACAAATGCACAGCAATTGGTCTTTCAAATTAAATGGAAATTGACTCCCAAGAATTAATTTGTGAAGGCGTAGACTTCCCATTCGAAACACTTTCTTCAATCGCTGCCACTCGAACTTGTGTTCGACCACAAAACCATTTAATTTGTTGGCCGGAAAACCCATGGCAATGGCAATAATTGACTTTTCGTTCGGGCCGAGGGCCAGAGAGTCAGTTTCAGGCCGGAGGGCCAGACACATTCGCAAGGTGTCCTGGCCGAAATTCTTAAGCAACACTCCGGCAGTGAGACTTTCCCACATAAATTATGCAGGAGTCGTTCGGGGCTTGACCACTGGCGCCTGTCGACAGGCGACACCAGGCCGGGGCAGGAGGAGTGTGAAACAAGATTATTTACAAAATGCACAAGCCACAGAATCTTAAACACAGCAAGCCGGCAAGGCAAGGCAAGGCAAGGACCTTGCCTGGGCGGGAGGGGCGGAAAGAAAACAATTTCCACACAAATTTCTGGAGCGAGCACACAAATGAAAACCAAACAAACAAGCACAAACAGTTGGCAGGAGGCGGCAGACAAGTCTGAGCTGCCAAAAGGTATTCCCCAAGAATTTCTGCCACAAGGACGAGGACGAGGGCACAAGCACAAGCACAAGCACTGATTTGTCTCCCCGACAGCACAAAACACTTCCTCTTCGCACAGACACAAAGGAGCTGGGAGTCGGGAGCCAGGACAACAGAGCTCGAGCCAGAGTCGGAGCCCCAGTTGAGCTCTGGCAAAACGGCAAATGGAGACGTTATCGTTCTCATCATTCGGCATCGTCTTGGAGCAGGAAACACCACACAGTCGGCAGGCGGCAGGCGGCCCCTCAACGACCTTGACACAGAATTGTTTGTGGTCTGGGGGAAAGGCAGAAGCCGAAGCAGGCACTGCCACAAATGCTCATTCAAGTGTCCAGTCTGAAAAATGGCCACCTCCTGCTCCTGCTCCCACTTTGTGCTCCTTTGCAAAGCCAGGGGCATTCAAGGAAGCAGCAGAAGTCACACAGAGAGACCAGAGACCAGCTCTGGCCCCGTCTGCCGGTTAATTGTGTGCCCCGGCTCCGGCACTTCCTCCTGTGTGTCCTTCGTCCTTCTTGTTGTTTTGGGGCAGCCATAACCAGCATCTCCTGCTGCCAGCTGCAACAACTGCACTTCTGAGTCCGAGATTTCACAGCTTCAGCAGAGCCACTTCCACTTCCATTCGGCACTTAGCAATCGCCACTTGCCACTAGCCACTTGTTGCAGGAACCAAAATACGAGACTGATGGGCCAAAGGATAATTGAAAGGCTGCCTTTAAGATGACCGGCAGCTTAAATGCAAATTAGGAAAGGGCAAACTGCGGGAATAACCAAATCGCTTAATAAATTGCAGACCGAGCGAAATGGAAATTGAAAATAATGAAAATGCATGAAAAAAGGACCGGAGGAGGAAAGGGTGACTGTGGAAAACTCGAGAGCAGGGAAAGCTTCCGAGGAATAGCATGGGAAAAATCAGCAGTTGGGCAAGAAGAAACCTAGCGAGGAGAAGAACGGGTGTTTTCCCTGGACATGATATATGATGGAGCCCTCGTTCGAGTCCGAGCAGGAAATAATTCCCAATCCCGGCGGAATGGGACATGCAAATATTGAAACGAGCGGACGGACCGGGGTACAAAGAAATCTAAACAACAAAACAGCACAAGCAGCAGCAGAGCATTTTTGGCCAGCCACTAACAATAAATGATGATAAAAGTCGGAGGTGGGGACAAGGTGGCTCCGCAAGGAGTGCAGGTCTTCCTGCTCCGAACATCGCTGATTAAACGCGAGTGCCACGAATGCGTCGCGAGGTGACGACGACGACGACATGGACATAGACGTGGCCAAAGGACTGGGGCCAGTGGTTGTATTGGGACAGGAATGGGTAGTAGTCCTCGTCCACGTCTACGTGTCCAGACGCGGCAGACAGGCTGCAGTCCGGCAGCTTGCAGGTTCTAGATTCCAGATCCCAGACAGACGACGATGGAGCTCACTCTCATACTCCTTTCGCAGGACCCGTGATGGCTTCGAGTCGGAGGCGAGTCTGCGGCAACAATTTTCGACAAAGGACCAGAAAAGTGCAGATTGCAAAAAATCAACTACGGCCATATTTGTTGGACGTGTGTGTGGATATATATATATCCACATATAGATTCTATGGTTTTTTCGGCAAACATTTCCGGATTTTCTTCATTTTTGTTGTATTTCTCTAATTTATTTCTTGATTTTATTTGTTTCGCTGCCAGAACACTCCGCATGCAAATGATGTTGAATGCGATAAGTGTTCGAAGGGTTGGTCCTCGTCCTGGCTCACCCACCTCCCCCGCGAGTGGTTAAAAAAACACTTGAAAGTGGCAGACATGGCAAGGAAGGGTTAGGTGGGTTTCGACCAGCGTTTGAAATATGAACTTGAGGGACGCGCGTATTGTCTGCCCTGATTATGGTTGGGTGGTTTTATACACCTCCCAGTTCCAGCACCCCTCTCCTTTTTGGGGGAGCACTCCCGCTGCAAGTTGATTTATTAAGATGTTTTTATTAGGACGGATCCTTCTAACACAAGCGGATGCAATGGAGCACATTCCAGGCACTTAAAGCCAAGAGCCATCAATGGAGCCTGGCCCCACGCGGAGGTTCTTAATATTTCATATGAGAAATCAAGTATACGCCATGCACACGGCCCGCTCCACTCGCTGCAGCTGACAGGCCAGTGCATTACCGTTAGCTCACATGTCCTTTGTGACACAAACTACATGCTACCCCCTCTCTCCTCGCGAAAATCCTTCACATCTTTGACTGCTTCGGTTTTTTTCGCCGCTGCACATAAACCAAATATGTATGTAATTTTTTGCAATTTTCTAACAAAATTTCGCATTTTTTCGTGTTGCTATTTTATTTTGCATGGACCAAGGTTGACTGCCCTGACTGTCCTGTGCCGGAGCGCTCCGAAATGTCCTCTGAAATGTCCCTAGCCCGGCAAGGAGGCCACTTGGCAGCCGGATCACGTTGGAATATTTTCAATGTCCTGGACGGGATGTGTGGCGGGATATAATAATTTCATGTGACGTGCAGCGGACGCTGCTCGTCTCCGTTCGCTTCTCGGCCTGCTCCTCCTCTTGCTCCAGCTTGTCCTGGCTGCTTTGATATATAATTTTGCATTTTTTAATGCCTCACTTGCCCCGAAGGCAACGGAGAATGGAGCAGAGCATAGCAGAGCAGGGCAGCGCAGGGCATGTGAGTGTCCTGTGTCCTGCACTTTTGGCAGCGCATAATCTCATTTAGTTGCTGGCAAAACGCTTTTTAAAATCAAATTTCCGCTAAAACATTTTCTATTTGACATTTCGTTGGCATTTGTGGCTCACAAATGGAAAATATTCCCGCTCTCGCTTTGTCTGTCAACTGGAGAAGGCAAAGATAAAAAAAAGGAAACTATTGCAAGGGCTAAACATTTAAGAAGGGGTCCGTAAACATTTGATGGACAATTTCCTTAAACAAAAAAATATCGAAAAAAGATTGTCAAAGGGCAGAC